ATCCCCACTCATTCCCCCCCCCGATACATATCCAACAATGGCAGTGTCAGAGAACTTTTGTAGGTGACAGTGGTGAGAGTTGTACTTGAAGTCTGACATGTAGAGGGTGAACAGAAAGGGGGAAAGCACCGTCCCCTGGGGTGCCCCCGTGCTGCAGACCACCACATCCGACACAGTCATGCAGCCTGACAAACTGAGGTCTGTTTGTTGTCCACACCTGCCCCCACCAACTTCCCCCTCAGCAGTGATGGCAGGATTGTGTTGAAAGCACCGGAGAAGTCAAAGAAAATAACCCTCACCATGCTTCGGGGGACTCCAGGTGAGATAGGGCTCGATGCAGCATGTAGATAATGTCGTCACCACAATGCCAGTACGGTATGCAAACTTCAGCGGGTCGAGCGCCGAGCTCACCTGGGCACGGAGGTGACCAAGGACAATCCTCTCCATGGTCTTCATCAGGTGGGAGGTCAGGGCAACGGGTCTGTAATGGCTTGGCTCCTTAGGATGAGGTATTTTGGGAACTGGAACAACGCAGGATGTCTTCCATAGGGCTGGGACTCTCTCCAGGCCAAAAGTCAGGTTAAACATGTACAGGACCCACTTCACTGAGTTGGTCTGCACACTCCCTGAGGACCCTGGGGCTGATGTGGTCAGGGCCTGTGGCCTTAATCCTCCTTAACTCCTTCCTGACCTGGTCTGCCGTGAGGCAGAGGGGGCTGGTGGGCGGTGACTGCTCAGGAGCTGTGGGATGTTGAGAAAGCCCCATGACAGTGGGAGGAGGGGCAAGGTCTGGCTGGTGACACTTTTTTCACCACTGGAGTATACACTGGAAGTAGGTGGACAAGGTTGTGGTCAGAGCGACCTAGAGGGGGGAGGGGGGGGCGGAGGTGTGCGCCTTCCTGGCATTTGCATACATTAGATCCAGAGTTTTATTGTCCTTTATGCGGCAATTTACATACTGGGTGAAGTTTGGGAGGGTGGCCGAGAAGGGGAGAGAAGCATGGTTAAAGTCCCCCGAGATAAGAATTAAAGCCTGTGGATGTTGTGTCTGCAGCCTGGCTATGGTGCTCAGCGTGCACTGACATGCAGCTTTAGCATCGGCCGAAGGATTAATGTACACCACCACCACAATCATATGGGAGTGCTCCCTAGGGATGTAGTACTGCCGTACGCCGATAGCCAATAGTTCAATGTATCTGCTACAGAATTTTTCCTCAACAGTTATGTATCTGGGATTGCACCATCTGTTATTAAAGTACACCGCCAAACCTCCCCCTTTCCTCTTACCACAGTCAGCCGTGCTTCGATCTGCCCAAATTAGTGTAAATCCTTGTAAGGAGACCACAGAATCTGGAGTGTTGTTGTTCAGCCAGGTCTCAGTGAAGCATAGCAGCTGCTCTCCCTGTACTCACGTTGCAGTCTCATTAGTGCTGTTAGCTCGTCCATCTTGTTGGAGAGGGACCGCACGTTACCCATAATGACAGATGGTAAACATGGCTTACACCTCCATTTCATCTCCCGGCGCTTTATGCTGGCTCTGCAGCCCTGCATTTTACGGCGTATTTCCGAGGGACTCTCCAGCTTCTCCCCGTGAGGTGGCCGCTTGCTTATGAGTGCTAGTAGTTGGCTTCGGGTGTAAACAATGAGACCGGCGTCTCCTGACTCCGGAGCTCGCGAAATAGTAAAAGTCATAATGCAAACGCAGTAACAATTTGTATCCTGGTAGCACAGCACCACTAAGGACTACAGCAAGAGAATAACACAAAGCAAACACTGGAAAACTTAATAAAAACACAACGAGACCAGAGCTGCTGAAACTTGCTGCCACTCTGCGCAGCGCATGCGTTGAGAGGCAGAGGAGAGGCAGTGTTTAAAGGCCTGAGAAGACATGGGCAATCAACTAAAGACACTCAGGAAGATGGAGAAAAGCTTCAGCCAGCTTCTAGACCTGCTCCTACCCAAACCCGATCCAGAAATCCCCAGGGTCATCATTTCTTGCATTTGTGGACATCCACCCAGCCAAGGATGTGAGTACAGTTTTAGCACATAGGGATAGAGTTTATTTAACTTTTTATTCATATAACTGTAAATTGTATTTTGATCATTTTGCTGATTTGTCTGCTTTGCTATTGCCAAATAAAGCATCTAAACTGAAGTTAAAGCAAACTTCCCTAGCTTTTATTTAACTTTGAATAAGGGTTTTCTCCTCTTTAATGTAAAATAATAGATATGTGGCTAAGCCAGTCCATAGACGGAAGCTGCAACAGGTTTGCTCTAGACTCTAAACTTAAAGAGCCCACGGCACTTTTCCTTGTTTTCTGACTTATCTACAATGTTATAACGGTTATAATGTTAGACGTGGCCTAAAGCTGAAAAAATGAGGTGAACGTATGTTCTAGCATTTCTATGCAGAAGTAACTCGGTTTATACACGTCTTGCAAACTAATAATAATCACCTTTATTGGCCAAATATGTTATACACAAGGAAGTTGTTTCTGGTACAGAACTGAGGCAACCATCTGCAGCACCAACTCAACTGATGGCTCTAACCATCGGGGGCAACTTGGGGGTTCAGTGTCTGGCACAAGTATACTTCATCATGTGGACTGGAGGCACCGAGATTTGAACCTCCGACCCTCCAGTTGGGAGACTATTGCTCTACCCACTGAACCAAACTCGCCCCTCAGTACCAAACCACAACTTATCCCCAGGATAGGAACATTTCAAAGTAATTTCTAACAAGTTAAATCATACACATATTGTATGTACTGTCATAACTTGTAATGTTAATTCTCCCTAAGAGCCTTAATATCAAAATGATTTGTATGACTGTACAATTTACAATTGTGGTTTTTTTTTTGGGTGAAATGTAGCTGGTGGTTCATTTTTCCCCTACTGGACCACACACAAACAGCCTACTCATCCCTCACCTGGGTATAAAGTAAAGTCATTTTCGGCTTTTCCCGTTTAGGGGTTGCCACAGCAAATCGTCACACTGACGACTCGCATGTTGACATTTGGCACGTGTTTTACGCCAGATGCCCTTCTTGACGCAACCCTGACTCGAACCTGGGCCGCAGCAGTGAAAGCGCTGCACCTTAACCACTAGCCTACCAGTTTTCTGTTAGGTATATTCAACATATTTAATCTGATCTAGTGTATGTTGTTACATTTAGTATTCTGGACAATCCCTGAAGCGCAATAAATGGGAGTGTTAACTTCATAACATCAAATGTAGTTTTTCTGATTTGTATAATTTATAATTCAAGTAACTTGGTGTTTACTTAACCTGTGGTGACGTAGATACTGTGGTTACAACTGCTTTATTAGAAAGAATACACACTGTATTTCATAAATTTACAATTAACAAATTAAAATTACTAATTTTAACAAAAATGATTAAAGAAAATTGCTTAAAAATTTGCATCCCTTACCCCTAACAAATCTGTCCACGCTGGTTTTCTACATGCCAGTTCTTACAGATCAGAGCAGGTAGACACGAGTTGTTCATTTTTATGCTTTTTAGAGTAAAGAGAGATGAGGTTACCATTGCAATCTGATGTTTGACCCGCTCCCTAGCAGCCTTCTCCTCTGCCTTCTCTTTGTTCCTTTCCTCCAGGAGTCGCTTCGTTTTCTCCTCTTCCTGTTTCCTCTTAAAGTCCTGCGTGTCCTTTCCCACCTTCCGCCGTTCCATTTCCTTTTTGATCTCGTTCTGAATCACAGATAACATGTACGGCCACATTAATTATGTATTCCAATTAACATTACAAATGACACTAATGAAAACTCAGTATGAATAAAATAAAGAGCTAATGGTCAGGGTTACTAATCTAGGAAATGAGGCTATCCCTGTGCTCAGCGAATCGGAGGCACCTGCATCAGCAGGTCGACAGGTCTCATTTCATAGGTAGCCTGATACAGTCTGGAAGTAACCAATCACCTTAGTGGTCAGCCAGTCTCCTGTTTGTATCAAAACACACAAATGTATGTATTTCTTTGTATTTTCAGTATTAAAGTAACTATGTAACACTGACAAGCAGAAGAGTAGTGGTTAAAAACAAACAAGTTACAAGTTAAAATGTAATATGTTAGAGAGAGTACAGGTCATGGAGTGAGCAGAACAACGCTTGCATAATTTGTCCTGAGAATTGTTTGTGTGCAGAAACGAAGACTTCAGGGAGGTGACCTATCTGTTTCCTGTTTTTGGGTACATCTCAGGGAGGTTCCTCTTAAAAGTTAAGAAAGGAAGCTAGGTTCGGAAATTGACGTAAGGCCCTCTGGATAAAGTTAGCAAAAGAGTTGGTCAGAAAGAGAGTGAGTGTGTTCGGGAAAGACAGACGAACAGCAAGAACCCAGCAGGGGACTGAGCCAACTCTGACTTTACTGTACTGTAGGGCCAACAATGACAACTCTCATTTGTAATACTTTTTTTTTATGCAGAAACTGTGATTCTGTTCTTCTAGTCCCGATCTTTCAACTTATTGAACTGTTCAGAACTATTGTAATATTAAATAATCATTGGGATGATTTGCCTGAATTAATTTAGTTCACATCAGATCCTAACAACCACAGAAGCAACAGCACCTCCTGCTACCTCAGTGGATTATTACAGAATTACACCTACATCAATTGTGTTGATGGTACCACACTACACACTGCTGGAAGGGGAACACGCTTCCACAAATGATCAGGACAGAGTGGAAAGGAAACAATCAACTGGGCTGAAAATACCATGTTGTAAATACAGTTTCACTTTTACCGTTAATGTTGTGTCCTGTCTCTTCAGTGTTCGGAACTTATGTTTGCCACTTTAAGTGTGAAAGTGAAACTATGTAACTTTTAAATGCCTTCTCCATCAACAAAAAGTACAGAAGCCAACATGAACAATGGAAAATAAAATATGCATACATTAGAATGTTATATATTAAATCTATGGAAGTATGGGCACTGTATCCCATTTCAATCCTCCATGGCTATAGACAGATTTTGAGATGGACAAAATATAGTGCATAACTTAAACTCTCTCTCATACACATTGGCCACTATATTAGGTACACCTGTACAATTGTATACAATTCAATGCCAAACTTCCACATTAACATTTGTGTTAATGAAGCTCAAAATGTTTTTGGTGAAATTGTCATAAATGTATAAATTAAATTGTATTATTGAGGTCATATTCAGAGGTGTGTCTATATTTTTGTCCTCCCCAGGTACATACATGACAGGGTCACAATATTAGGCACACCTCTATATCAGTGCGATCAACTGATTAAAATTTTTGTTATTAATTTCAGGATTGTCCATATTTAACTTGTGATAAATCACAAATTAATCAAATCAAATGTTATCTGTTCTAAACAGTGGTGAAAAGTAGGTACATTCACTCAAGTGCTGTATTTAAGAACAATTTTGAGGTATCTGTACTTTCAGTATTTTCTTTTTCTGTTACTTCATACTTAGACTTCACTACATTCCAACTGTAATTTTTACTCCACTACATTTATTTGAGAAGTTTAGTTACTTTTCATAACACGAATAACACAAAAAAAACTGTATAATTGTGTGTGGTGACTTTCGAAGGCAATTCATAAGTGCAGGTTTGGATGCAATGTGAATTATTTCAAGCAGACCCTCGTCCTCCACAATGAGGATCAGCCTGTGAGCTATAGCCGCCCATTTAGCTGTTTGAAGTGTGCTGCTTGCAGAGTTGTCCAGGCGTCTCCATTGCAAACTATCCAGCATGGTCTGCCTTTTGTGAGGGGGAGGAGGGCTCTCTCCAGAGGCTTCATCAGTTCTGTTCAGTTCAGTTCAGAACTGATGAAGCCTCTTGAACGAGAGGTGAAACGTCTTCTACCTAAAACTACGTCTAGATGATTTCGTCTACGTTTGTCAGCATACTACAACCAGGATGACTGAGAATTTGCACGGACACGTAGTTGGGCATATCCTGTTTTGCCGTCCAATAGCGATAGCCTTAGCAGGCTGCACAATACTCATATAATCTGGGGTTACGGTACGTAACCAATTTTTCTTTGTTTTACTTGAAGATGTGTCAGAGACGTCCCCTTACCTCTTCCTCTCCCCTCTTCCTTTGTTCTCGTCTATCCTCAAGTTTCTTGGTCAACCTGACAAGACAATATAAGTTATACAATATCAGATTTACAGCTGAATTCAGAAGTTTAAATAAACCTTGGCTAAATACTTTGAGACAGTTTTTCACAATTCTAAAGATTTCATTTCATTATATATTCCCTCTGCTATTTCAGTTAAACCATCTACTACTAAAATTTTTTATTGCAGGTTGAATTGATCACATTCCCGGTCAAACGCTTACATGCACTTAACATTTTGTGTGTAGCGGATTTAGACTACAATCTATGAAAATAATACCTTGTAAAAATAATTTAGATTAACCCTAACCCCTCTGTGATTCCAGTGACATCATGTCGATGTCTTTTAGTTTGTTGTTTTATTTATACTTTGATATGGAAGTCTTCCATTAGCTTTTGATATTATATTGTGTGTTTTTATTTTGCTCTTGGTTTTATTGTTTATGTAGCTGGTTCTATATTCTTAATATATGTTCTTCTGTGAAGCGCTCTGGGCTCCTCTGGAGTTGTAAAGTGCTATACAAATAAGTTATTATTATGGTCATAAGTGCAGTCATTTCGCTACAGGGATAAAATTAAGGTCAAGAGCATTTCTAGGATCTGTACCGTCTCCTGAAATGACACTGAAGCTACACACTTGTCAGTCAACCCTGAATCAGATACTATGAGTTTAGATGCTTGTTGGGTTAGACTTGACTTACTTTACTGCACGACTGGCCAAATTCAAAAGGTGTCACCAGCTTTCTGCAGACTTCAGAGTGTCAATTCGTACCATACTTTGATAGGAAACTGCGTACCTGGTCTGCTAATGTAAAGTCAGATTGTAGGTGAGAAAAACTCTGGTATTTAAGCTGTAGTTAGAACAGGTTGACTTGTGCCTGGATTTATACTGCCTCTATGTTTTTGACGGACATCAGTATAATTTTCATACTGATCAATGGTGGCTTAAAATGTCGAAGAGTAATCAACACATTAGGCTACCTCTCCACCTTGGCATCCAGATTTTCTTCACTCTGAGACCACGCAATGGCATGATCTGAAGATGCATTATCTGCATGAGTCACTGTGGCTGAAAGGCTGCTATCATCTGCTGTGCTCAAGGAGGGTGCTGTGTAGAACAGAGGAACAAACAGACAGTGCAGAGTTAACAACAATGCAGAGGTCCTGGCTGACCTGACCCACTCTGGAGCTCCCTGATGGTGACCCTGGTTTCGAACTCATCCTCACCCTGGTTGGTGCCTGTGGTTTGGGGCAGGCATACTTCTAGAAGCCTCTCTGGGTTTATTATTTATTAATTTATACCTTTCCCCCTTACTTTACCTACTTTTCTCTTCCTCGTTTTTCTTTTATACAGTAGATTCATAAAGTATTCAGTTTCAGGTTTTCCACATTTTATGTTTCAGACTCATAAAATGGATCATTTTTTCCTCTTCAATCTACACACAAAAACAGGTATTTTCTAAATTTGTTAAAAATAAGACTGAAATATCACACCTACATAAGTATTCAGACCCTTCACTTAGTATTTGGTTAAACCACCTTTGGCAGAGATGACAGCCTCAAATCTTCTTGAGAATAAAGCTATATGCTCAGCACAGCTTTCTTTTAGAAATTTATTCCTTTCAGAACCATACACAGCCATTTTCAGGTCTTTCCAGAGGTGCTCTATTGGGTTCAGGTCCAGACCCCAGCTGGGCCACTCCAGGACTTTCAGAGTTTTCCTGAAGCCACTCCTACATTTTCTTGGTGGTATGGTTCTGGGTTGATTCCCCAGTCTGAGGTCCTGAGCACTCTGGGGAAGCACTCTCCACACATCATTAAGAACTGTGGCCAAATAAGTTGTCATGTGACCTCTTTGTAAGGAATGGGTTCCATCTGGCCTCTCCTACAATAGAGGCCTGATTGGTGGAGGACTGTGCTGATGGCTGTCCTTCTGCAAAGTTCTCCAATCCCCATAAACGAGAGTCTGGATATCAATCATAGTGACCCTTTGGTCCTTGGTTACCTTTTTGAGCAAGGCCCTTTGTCCCCAATAACTCAGTTTGGTTGGGTGGCCAGATATAAAAATCTCTTCCATTTGGGATTGATGGAGGCTACCGTGCTCTTGGGCACTTTCAATGCTGCAGAAATGTTCTTATGTCCTTCCCTATATCTAAGTTCAGTTAGGCACTGGTGGACTCTAATCAAGCTGTAGAAGCATCTTAAGGACTACTGATAGAACTAGGATACACAAGAGCTCAATTGCAGGTGTCATAACAAAGGTTCTGAATACTTTGAAAAATATCATTTACACGTATTCGATCTACTTGTTTCTTAATGAACTTAGAAAACACTACAAAGACCTGTTTCTGCTTTGTTATTGTGAAATATTGCGTGTATTGACAAGGAAAAAAAGAACTGAATCCATTTTAGGAGGAGTCTGAAACATAAAATGTGGAAAATCTGAAAAGGTCTAAGAATTTTCTGAATCCACTGTATAATGATCTTCAAACTGCCATACATTTATCCATTATCTATACCGGTTTATCCCAAAGATGGTTGCAGGGGGCTGGAGCTTCTAAATGCCACTAAATCCAAAATTCATCTTCTACTTGCTACCAAAACATGTGTTGTGAAAAGAAACAGGAGTTTAAGTTACAGATGGGTCACAAAGTGGCTTAGAGTAATTGTTAAAACATTTTGAGAAATACGCTTGTTCCCACTGATGCTTAGAGTACTGTAAGCTGAGACGATAGAGCTGTCTGTGCATTAAATTATAGCCAGTTATTTTCAAATCTGCATTAATACACTTGTATGCCCATATGCTAAAATCAGTGCAAAAATGCATGCTTATGTATATCTGAAACTAGTATCAGAATCAGCTTTTCATCAAGTACAACACACAAAATTTGTACGGTGTACAAAATATGCTTTTGTAAGGCAGCAACAGGAGAATATGTATAATAACATCTGAAAGAGTAATTTGTCCATATACACACTGTGCATACAAGGTGGTCCTCTGTTACAAAGGACTGCCACTCTTGTCTGTTTTGTGCCAGTCTCTGAACAAATACCCAGTTTCTCAAAACTTGAGTTCTCCTTCAACTGCATGGCCCTGAGGAGCATGAGGCTCCAAGATGCATAGTGTAGGACATTGTATTTAATCCAGACTAACTAACTCACCTTTCACTGTTCCTGGTACTGCTGCAGGATCTGTGGCTACTGCTGCTGAAATAAGTGGCACTGATGGAGCTGAGGCTGCACTGCTGTGTGGGCTGGTCTCCACAGAAGCATTTTGCTCTGGCAACACTGCCCCACATCCAATCTGCTGAGTGTGCATCTGTCAGAAAGAAAGGAGAAATTAAATTTCTACAAATGTAATGTATGCTGCTGAATGAATGCATGCTGTTTAATAGACTAGGAAGTGTGAGAAAATGTCTTTACACTGATGATCATCCCCTAAAATAGCACAGGCCTACATGATAAGCCAATCCCAGCTCACACCGGGTGAGAAGTGGGGTCCACCCTGGACAGGTCACCATTATATCACAGGGCTAACGTAAACAAACAACCACACACACTCGCACCTACAGCCAGTCTAGAGTCACCAGTCAACCTAAGCTGCATGTCTTTGGACTGTGGGAGGAAACCGGAGCACCCGGAGAGAACCCACGCAGGGAGAACATGCAGACCCCACAGAGAATAGCCCCGGGCCGTCCCAAGCTCAGACCCGGGACCTTCTTGCTGTGAGTTGACAGCGCTAACCACAGCACCTAGCATTATATCATATTTAAATTACACACCGGCATGCACATTATGACTTTTCAGTTCTTTCATAACTGCCAGAGACTCCTTGATTTCCTTAACTGGTGTATGCACCAGGTTTGTGTCCAGAGCATCTCACTTCACCTCTTCACCCCGCTCCGCTATCTTTACATGCTGGATCTCTAAGACTGTACTTGGGCATATTGGTGCACTGGGCATGGTAACATGTTAATGCTAATATGCTGACACTAACAATTTGATGCGTTATCCATCTCTAACATTTGCAATTTAGTATTAAATTAAAAACAGCATACAACTGAGAGTGATGGGAGTGTCATATATATA